ATATATATATGTGGAATTTACCACTGTGATCATACATTTGTCTGACCAGAGACTCCTGGTGAATTAGAGCTGATTTCTATCCTAAAAAAATACTGACAAGTAATGTTTGTAGCCATTTCCAATTTTTTTTTCTACATTCTGGCATTCTCAATTAAATTGACTAAGTTGGACCAGAACCAAGAGACAAAATGTTTAGCAACAAATCAGGTTCGAATTCTTCAGGTTTCACTAAACTTCCTATAGACTCAAATGTGAGTCCAGATATTGCAATCAGATGATTAAGTACTTTTTTTTTTCTCTAAATGAAGCAAAGGCAGCTTGTTTTATCTTTAAATGTCTTATAAGAGGAGAATGTGATGCTGCAGTGCTGCTTATATTCAACCCATACAGTGGAATCAGTGTGAGTAAAGATTTACATTCAGAAAAATAACATTTCTCCCCCTCCCTACCCCTTCACTCTTCCAAGCCCAGTGTCTGATACAACTTAAATATAAACCTGTTCTGGGGACTGTTCAATGTGGTACAACTTCACACAAAGTTAAAAAGTCAGATAATGAGTTAGAATTAAACTAAAGTCTGCAAATGTCAATATTTTAGGAGTATTTGCAAATCAAACAACGAAAATATAAAAAAAAACACAAAATCAAATAAAGGCTGAAAATGAATGCCATTAAGTGTGATCCCACTTTTCATTTATCACCACTGTTCCTCTTCAACATTATGTTCCACCACACTGAACATGCCCACTTTATCCCCACCCACCCAGTGCATCTCTCCAATAAAAATAAAAAAGTACACTTTTCTCTCAGCCACATACCGTGCACCACCCTTTGCCACTCCCTCCACCACAAAGTAAATAACACTTTAAAACAACTGCAAAAGAACTACACATTCAAGTACCTATTTGTCATTTGGCACCAGGAGCAAAGGTACCACAAAAACATTAACCACCATCAATTTCTGTTAGTCATTTGTCTCTTCAAATACTGCCACTTCAGAAAGCAAGCCGAATGAATTTGCCTTAGAATGGTCGAAAAATTGTTTTACAATTTAGTATACATGTCTTCTCTTTTAAATCAATTATAAAACGTCCGCTCAATTAACTACTATGCTTATGCATACACGTTAAAAAGAAATGTAGAAACACATTTTACATATTCGCATATACAGCATATTCGTCATCTCAGTTCAATTGTCAAAAAATTTAGAACATTAATTTTAGCTAAGTCAAATTAACCCCTTTAAATAAACACCTATCCCTTTTTTTCTCAATGTGCTCTAAAACATATAGTTCATTCTCCACTTTCAGTTGTATTTTAAGAGAAACAGTACTCAGAAAAGACAATACTTTTTTTTCAAAAGTTATGACAATGTTTTCAATTACGGGAAAAAAGGCTTAAAAAATAAAACACAAGATATTTGAGAGATAGAAAAGGCAAGTTGTAGCATGAGCAGGGGTGTGTGTGTGTGTGTGTGTGTGTGGCGAGGATAGAAGGGAAAGAAGAGGAAGGTTGAAAATTCTTTACCTCAACCCTAACCCTGTCTTTGGAACACTGCTGTGTTGGAACAGTAAGTGTGCGCACCTAGATTTTGTTTATTCATCTTTTTGGGCCTACACACACACACACACGCACAAATGCATACACACTGACCACCCACACAGATTAGACCACAATGAATACTATGGCTGGGAATAGAACTGAAGCAGACAAATCAAAAATATTTTTATATATCTATGTATATATTCATATATTTGAATTTTATATACTATATATTTTTTCTTAAACAGCAGGCTTAAAAGCTTATGATTTAGGCAATGTTTGCCACTGTACTGCAGAGTCTTATTGGAGAGGACAGAGAAAGCACACAGGATAACTGAAGGAAAGAGTGATAAAACTGTATACATCCTTTTAGACATTAGAGCAGTTGAGCAGAGACATGCAAGAAAAAAAGTCACACAAGTTAAATTTGCAGAGGCACACTAGTCTGATTTCGTTTGAACAGGAGAACAAAAAGAGAGAGAGAGACAAAACTCCAATGAAGTTGCCACAAAAACTCATTAGCATCCCCCTTGTTTTAAATGAGGTGGAGCCTCAGGTGACAGGTGTACAGTTCCTGTTTTGATGCTTTAACCCTGTTCCAGAGGTCTTTGGATGATGTCGACCTCAGAATCTTTAAATCCAGGAGGCAGTCTCCAAAGAGCCAGATACAGGTAGTTGAAGTATTGGAGCCATGTTGAAGCACAAGTTGCGTCAGGAATCTCAGCACCTCAACTGAACAACATAGCTTATGCAGTAGTTGCAAACTTGTGTGGTCAAATGAGCTGTCGGATGCAAGAAAAAGAGGAAGAAAAAAAAACACAACACAAAATAATGCCACAAACCCACGTTAGTCTCTTAGAAACATCTGTGAGTGGCTGTTCTCAGTAATGGCTGGCTGGTTGTGGAGGTGTGAGATCCTCTGCTCTCGCTCAGGTATGTGCAAGGCACCACGGAGTCCCAAAGCTTTCCAAACAGAGCTGCTTCCATGTCTGGCAATCTTAAAAAAATAAAATTAAATCAAAAAAAAAAACACCACCACAAAGAAAACAAAACAAATAGAAAGAAACTGTGCTCATTTGCCTCTCCTTTGATTTTTGTACGGTGTATATAGTTCTGTAGTGCAGTCTGGGTCCTCCCCGTTTTGTGAATTTAAATAACCAACAAAAATCCGTTTGCAGTCCTCCACCTTGGGTGCACTTTCAAAACCAGGATTCTAGTTTTGATTATTCTTTGAGGTGAAATAAAAGAAAGGATTATGGATGCAGTCCTGTATTTTTTGTTTTGTTTTGGGGTTTTTTTGTTTTGTCAGATGACGCAGTCGTCCTGGACAGCTACCAGTGGCACTCCAAATCTGCTCCACTCTGCAAAAGGAAAGCCATGAGAAGAGGAAAAGGAGGAAAGAGGTGGGGAAAATGGGGGGAGAGTGGGGCAAAATAAGAGAAAAATAGCATACATTGTTACTTTAAAATCACACTCCATATTTCTGTCCCCAACCTGGATTTCAGTTTGAGGCCGGTTTTTTTTTTTTTAACCACAGACAGAAAATATTTTATTCTTTGAATTACAACACCAACGTAAGCACACTTTCTAACTCAGTTCGTGTTATTTTTTACGCAACAATATGCCAACATAACTCCATGACTTTGTCGTACTGCAGGGGGTGACACAGAAACAGAGACTGGTATTTGCTTGCGTGCAGCTGCTGAGCGAGGCGATAGTGCATGCGTGTAGGGCCAGTGCATGCGTGTTTGTGTGCCTGTGACGTGAGAGTGGGACAGACAGGACCGTAAAACATCTGATCATTCGTCTTCATCGGTTCTAGACAGTCACGTCTACACGCACTCACACTCACACACGAACCTTAAAACTCTAAATGGAGCTCTACATGCTAGAGAATAGACCATTGCAGGGAGTAACGACTGATGGAGGTGTGACAGGGGAATATGCTCTGCAGGTTCACCACTTTACATGCCTGTAAGAATGTGTGTGTTGAGTGTGTGGTTGCATGGGGGTGTTGGAAGAAAGGGAGTGGGGAAGGGGGGTTAACAGTTATATATGCGACTTACCAAATGAAACAGGAGGGCTGCGTTAATCAGAGGGTGAACACACAGTTAGACATGATACATCCCTTTTCAATGTGTGTGTGTGTGTGTGTGTGCGTGAGAGAGTAGCTGCATTTCCATTGCAAATGTGCGCAAAACTTTGTCGATATGTCGAAAAAATACAGTTTCGCAATTGCTTTGTTTCCATTAAGTAAGAAACGCTATTAAAGTCACGCGAACACGCTTGTTCTTGCGATAATTCATTACAAACATGGTGGCAATGGATGTAAACATATAGCATGTTGCTACCACGACACTAGCGCTCATCATCAGCCATCAGAGGAGACGTCGGCGTCTTATCGAGGCTTTTGAGCGACAAGCCCCTTATACTTGGGAGTGGCTACGTATGCTGCGTTTTGGGGAAATTGTAGTCAGTGAGTTTATTACTTTTTACAACTTTGGTGATTTCACTACTACTTTTACTTCCTGTTATCTTCTTCTTCGTCATCTTTTCGCCAGTAGAAACAGCCGGTTCTTGATCACGTGACTCCCGTGATGCGAAAAAAGTGTTTCCATTGCCGTTTTGCGAAATACATCAATTTTGATACGGCCTAGTGCAAAAACATTTTGTCGAAAAACGTAATTTTTTTCGAAATTGACGTGTTTCTATTGAGCAAATTTATTTTTGAAAGTCTAATTTGCGCATTTTCATGGTCTATGGAAACGCAGCTACTGTAGTGTATATTTTAATTACACACCATTTGAAAAGTATAAAATTAAGCCGTGACGACTACAGACACCCTTTTACATACAGTGTTGGTTTTATGTATTGGAACAAGGATTATCAGTGCAGACAAACACACAAATCCTCTCTAGACTTTAACGTGTCAATCACAACCAGACAGACGCACAAAGAAAACCTACGACACAGAGCGACAAACTAAAAAGTGGACAGGGCTTTCTGACGCTTTTCAAACTGTTCAAAATGACGTTTTCTGATCATCACACTGACCGCCATTAGATCCTTTTACATGAATCTCATTAACATCTGAAAATAAAAGCACTGCAGCTTTTGTTTTGGTAATCATGTGATCGCCATTTGAACTCACGTGAGGCTGAACATGCTCGGGGTTAGCGTTAAGAACACCACAAACAGCCAAAGCTGCTAACCTGCACTGCAAGCAGATCAAAGGCCCTACTCCCCCTCAGGACCAAATAGATTCTCTAAAATAGCTGCTGTTTGCGATTAGACATCTTAAGGCTACATGTCCCTAAAACTAATTCACTGGCATTATTGCAAAAAATGGTTTTAACACAACGTATCAAAAACACAAAAAAGGATCAAACTGTTTTTTCAGGTGTCAAAAGCAAGTTTTTGTAAAATTTGCAATAATATAAAGATCTCTGCTAAATCACAGAAATATTTGAGCTTATTATTCATGCAGGTTCTCAAGAAGCAACAAACTTTACAGCTATATTAGCAGTTTTCTATGAAAGATAAATACTGCAACAGTTACAGTATTGATTTGGAGATCAGATTTTATGGAAAACCAATTATCTGATGTTTTGAATTAATAAAAACTTGCAACACCTGATTAAATAAACTAGTAATATATTATATAAAATACACTGCCTGGCCAAAATAAAAAAAGGTCACACACTCCAATATTTCGTTGGATGGCCTTTAGCTTTGATCACGGCACACATTTGCTGTGGCATTGTTTTGATAAGATTCTGCAGCATCACAAGATTTATTTAAATCCAGTGTTGCATTAATTTTTCACCAAGGTCTTGCATTGATGATGGTAGAGTCTGACCGATGCTCAAAACCTTCTCCAGCACATCCCAAAGGTTCTCAGTGGACTCTGTGGAGCCAATCCATGTGTGAAAGTAGTGTCTCATGCTCCCTGAACCACTCTTTCACAATTTGAGCCCAATGAATCCTGCCATGGTCATCTTGGAATATGACCGTCTCATCAGGGAATAAAAAAATCCATTGATGGAATAACCTGGTCATTCAATATATTCAGGTAGTCAGCTGACCTCATTCTTTGAGCACAGACTGTTGCTGAACCTAGACCTGACAGACTGCAGCAACCCCACATCATCGACCTTAGTTAAATCCAGGTGGACCCTTGTTTTTGACCAGGTAGTGTATAGTGACAGTAACACAAGACAGTATAAGATCTGTGTGACAGGAAATTTTTTCATAAACTTAAAATCTATCAGAGCCACATTTCAAAAAAATAGAAAGATTTAGCATACTTTATCTTGGTGGCTTTACAGAATCAAATTGAGCTTTGTGTTTTTTAAAAAACGTTTTCGTTTGTGTGTGAACAAAAGCAGACAACTTGGGCTTAAAACACAAAATATTAGAGTTTCTTTAAATGTTCTGTATACAGATAAAGGAATTAATTAGGCTGCCTGTGCTAAATGTGTCTACTCAAAATGTTAAGCAGTGTCCAAACTTCAACATAGGATTTGGGTTCATCTATGTGTGTAATGGTTGTATCCATGGTTAAAAGACCAAACAAATTAAAAGGATGCTTACTCCATCTTCCTCCTTGTATGGACTCAGACGGTTGTATACTGCTTCAATAACACTGCGTCTGCAGGAAAAGCACAGATACAAAAGGTTTCATTGTCTTAACATAATTGCATTTTAAAAAATGCAGCAAAATAAAAAAGAGCAGAATATCAGCATCAAAATGATGTATATTTTGTGGTGGGAGGTGTTTTCTATTTAAAGAGTCTAATGACAAAATTATTACGGCACTTGAACCAATGCAGTTTTGTTTTGTTTTGTCTTTACAGTATTTGTCAAAGCAATACAAAATTAAAAAGTATGCATTCTTTTAAAAGTAACGAGTCTTACTTGCTAGCAAGTCCACCCCCTGGTGGCAAAGGGGGCATGCCACTGTCCGTAGACAGGTTCCTCATCACTGTTCCAAGATCCGGAATCTCCTCCTCTCCTGACAGAGACAGCATCTCTAAACACAACAGCAGAAATGTTACACAACTGAAGGTGTTTATGACCAAGAACATCGATGGGAAGACAAAGTTCACAGAGACGAGCAGAGGAGAGGAGAGAAAGCGGGGGAGAAAGTGACAAGTTCAGAGAAAGGAAGTGATGATGGAACCCTTCCAGGTGAATTTGTGAAAACGAGTGTGTGTAAGAGAGGCATGATGACACACCATGAAGGTTGCAGCTGAGCCGAGTGGCATGAGGCCAGGCCAATGTTCAGCCAGAGCATTCCTCTCAGCCTTCTCTTTTTACTCCCTCACTTTTTTTGTCTTCCAGAATTTAGACAATACCCAGAGCCAAACATCGACTCTGCGTTAACTGGACAAAATGTATGATTCTCGACTATAATTCACTATGTGCTGAAAAGTGAATTTCATTATTTTGAAGTATTATACTCACAAACACTAGAATGTCTAAGGCTTATAAACAATATCACAATCTTATTTACACTGAAACTCACGAAATACCCAGAAGATAAACAAAAACAAGTATCAGGTCTAAATCTGAAACTGCTGACTAACCATGAGTTTATCTGAACTACAATATTCAGCAAAGAAATCTGACAAGAAAAAACATCATCTGTGTTTAAAACAATCTTGTGTATCCAAAAGAGAAAAGAGTATTAATAATAGGAACGAAGCAAGGAATCCATCCAAGCAACACATGAAAACATTTTAATAAGAAAATGGAGGGAAAGAGGAATGAAGACAGGAAAAAAATAGGAAACGAAGGAATTTGCTTCCTGATGTGGAAAAGGAAGTCATAAAAGTATCATTCCCCTACTCTGAACAGGAGCTAACTGAGCTGGAAGACAAAAGTGACCAAATTACAACAAGATATAGTTTGACTTAAATTTATTTTTATAAAAACTATATCTAAGACTGTATGGAATAGCAGCAACATTGATTTTTTTTCATTGAAACAAACTACTTGGAATCAATTTCCTAAATTCATTTTGTTCCATATAAGGAAATAATATTTCAAAGTAGGGCTGCACTATTGTAAATTTATCATAACGATAACAGCCTGTGCAATTGGCATATTGTAAAACTGCATAAACTTCAATACATGGCTGGCTCAGATATTTCAGTCTGATAAACATAATGAACCCAAGATACCACCTCAAATCATAACTACTTGGTGAGTGGAGAAAATGTTGAACTGCTATGAGAGAATTTGCAGTTGGATTTGGGTTTGTTAATTTTTATTTTTATTGCAATATTAAGCTCTGTAATCACACATCACAGGTTTTTTGATAACATGCAGCCTTATTCCAAAGCTGATTGGGAAAAATAGCAAAAAACATTCCAGAAAAACTAGCCACTGAAGATTCTTGACCCGTTCGATCTCACCTTCTACTTGAGTCTCCAGGTATTTGTTGAGCTCAGCTTCTTTCTTCACAGCTTCCTCGGATACTTTGGGAGCGTTGGGCAAACACACTAACACAATACTCATGTTATCCCGACTCCCCTAGCATAAATGTTGAAGAAAAAGGAGGTTAAAAGAGCGACTTAAGCTGTAAGTGCTCAAACTAAAAGTAAACATGGTTTCCTGAGGTCGATGATAAATGGACTGAACACAGCAGTTCTCAGGGTTGTTTTAATATCTACTTGTTGATTCTTCTTCTATTTAAGGCAATTTTTTTTAAGTCATCACTCACTAAAACAAGCTGACAGTGTTCACAGCTTACATAACTAGTTCTTAGATGTTAAAAATGGACAAAACTGGAGAACACCACAACGGTATGATGAGCAATTGTTAACATACCTTGTGCAGGCATGTGTCCACGACTTCATTACAGACTTTCTCCAGGTCATCACAAACCTCAAGTCTAGATTTCACAAACTCGCACAATTCCTCATTGGACATGACATCCCAGATGCCATCACAAGCCAGAATAATGAACTGATCTTGCTCTGGTGCCCGAACCATCACAAACACTTCTGGCTCAGGGCTAACCAGCTGCTCTGTGGGGCCCTTGCCGTCCACACACTTGTAATCATAGTCTCCCAAAGCTCTCGATACAGCCAGTGATCCATTAACTCTCTGAATCATCACCGAGCCTCCAGCGTTCTGGATGCGCTCCCTCTCACGTGGGTTGCAAGGCTTGTGATCGAGCGTGGAGAAGCACACCTGTGAATTGCGGTACAAAACAGCTCGAGAATCTCCGCAGTTAATGAAGAAAAAATGATCCGGTGACAGAAGAATTCCGACAGCTGTAGAGCCACTGCGGTCCAAACCGTTCCGAAGGTCGGAGAAGTTGCGCATGTGCTCGTCGATGCTTAGGAAACCTGCTCTGATCCCAGCTTTCACAATCTCCACCGCAGGAGGTGGTGGTGCTTGAGAGTCACCGGTGGAGCCGTCTGATCCAACGTGTGAGTCTTGTGTACCTCCAGCTCCTAAACTAGCAGTAATTATGTGTTCGAGAAGGTGCTTAGAGCAGTAGTTGGCAACCTTGGATCCAGCGTGACCATCATACACTGCAAAAAAAGACCAGTCAGTCATTCCAGGGGTCTGAAGACCCAACACAGCTGTGTGGGCATCCTCCATCTCCACCCGCCAACCCTGCATGGAGCTCACTCCATAGCGCAGTCCATTCCCTTCACCGTGTGAGTTGTGCTTCTCTGTTTTGGGTTTGTCCAGGAACGCACCCATGGCTCTGCCTTAAACAGACCCACTGCTATCTGTGAGGGGGGAAACAAAGAAAAACAAGGCAAACACATATAAAAATCAGTGAAGTATACTGTAATAAACAAAAACACAAGCTGTACCTGCATGTAAAAATGCCCCAGCTTTGTCACACTGCAACACAATGAACTCAAACACACTAGTAGAGGTTTAAAAAAAACAGAACTTGGGAAAGAAAGAGCAGCTTGTCCTCACTTATGACCACCTAAGTCTCAACACCAATCCCACAGACCTTTTTTGACAAAAAATGTAACTACAGTGTGTGAAATCCATGCAGCAACTAATACAAAACAGATATGGAGCTGTGTTCACAGAAAGAATTGCAGCAAGTTTTTTTTGGAAAGAAATAATCACTGCAAGAAGGGTAAAATAACTTCCTGATGAAAGCCTAACGTGGCTGTTTTTGTGTTTGTCTTTTTTACAGATTCAGACATAATGTCCACTCATCTGAAACACTGAACCAAAGTTATCCACATTAACTTGCATTGTTTCTCTTAGACTAAACACATAGTACTGTTATCAATAATATGAACAGAAATTAAAAGCTGTGCTGTCAAACATCTGATCATATTTTTTTTCAAAGTGTAGTAGTTAATTAGGTTCCCTCTACGAATGAGTTTAATCTGTTATTACATCTCAGCCTATAAAAACTGATTACAGGTCTTTTGCAATGGTCTGAAAATCTGAACACTGCAAAGATCCCATTGATTTATCACACTTGGGACTGCTACAGCTTGTCAACATGTGTGTGTGCATGTTTGAGTTTGTTTGTTTTACTGTCTATTTATTAGGATAAATGAAATTGTACTAAAACGTAATCATTGTGCAACATATCTAGAAATAGCTCAAGTTCATTGTTTTATGCTTGGAAAGACATGGGAGTGAGCTTAATAGCTTCTTTGGCCAGCCAGAACTCACTACTGAAAGCATTAACAAACTCTGCTGAGTGTTCAAGAGGATGTTTTTATCTTGTAATAACTGCACCTGCATTAGCTGAAGGAACAGCAACATAAGGGTGTTTGATAGGAAAGTCTTTGTTGACTGTTTATGTTAAAGAGGAACATAGTTTTATTGATTGTGACACCACTTAGTGGCATCTTAGCCATAGAAATTGTAGACTGAGTCTAATAGAAATTATTTTAGAACATATCCATAAACACCATTTATGAATACTGAAGGCAAACTTAGGGATTTAATTAATGTAAGTGTGATTTAAAGCTGAAAATCTGAAGGCTAGATGTCAGGAATAACCAACTTATTGCAAATCTCGTATTTCTTTAACAACTATTTAATTTTAATTAAAAAATTAAAAACGCAGTTGAGATGCAAAGTCAACAACAGTCTGAAATAAAAGCTACCAAGTGACAGTTTGTGTGCTGTAAAGTTTGTCATTTCTGTGTGCAATAGTGACCTTTTTGTGCCATCTTTGCTCATTAGTCCAGACCAGCGGTGGATAACTGTTGTCTCAATGTGTACTTTAAGACAGACAAGGTTACGGAACCAAAAGCATGACATCCACTGTGTCTAAATATGCATACTCCCACCGTGCCAGCAAAACTGTGATGTGCAACAAAGATACAACACTCATGCCTTCAACACAATGTGCCAAGATCTTGTGGATGATCCAGATCTATAAAAAGCTTTTAGGGTGTCCTCTAGTCATCGGCTCGCACCTTTCTGAAAAGTCTACACTTCCCACAAGACCACTTCATTCACACTTCCAGGTTTTACCTGTGATGAGAAATTTCCTCAGACATTTACACACAAGTACATTCTGCTGCACAAGAAACAACAGAAAAACTGTGGCTTGTGATTACATTGAAGTGGATTAACTGTTGAACCATCAGTGCAAGAAGTCTGGGGAGTTTTGTTTGTTTGTTTGTTTGTTTGTTTGTTTGTTTGTTTGTTTGTTTGTTTGTTTGTTTGTTTAATGGACCTGCTGACTTTCATGTGGCTATGTACAGTGCAATGAATTTCAACTTTAGTAGTGGATATTTCCACGAAAACTGCCTTTGTTTAGTTAAACTAATTATGTAACACAATGCTCTGTATTATTCATTCTGTTTGACACTGATGGTGAAAGCTCAACTCACTCAGTCCAACCACTATTTTTGGACTTTAAACAAGCAGGGCAGCTTTAACAAGTTGACTCAATTTAACATTCAGCTGCTGATGGGATCCACACGGACCCAGATTATCTGGTCAAACACAGTACACAACCTGAGCGTGCTAGTGAACAATTTCTTTTTACTTAACTTCTTGATTATTTGAGTTTTGTGCAAACTGTTTATAACAAAAGATGTTTTGTCATCTCTGATATAATTAGAAGTGCTGCTAATTTAAACTGAACATCAAACATTTTGTGTTGGCGCTTCCATTTTTTTTCGTGAGGATTAACACTGGGAATTAACACTGCTAGTGGAAAAAAGTTAGGAGCCATTATTTATTCATTCATCAAGCAGTCTTCCAGCTGTACCAGTAATTGCATACTTCATTTTCTACTAATCCCCTTACATAGCCTTTTAGGCATATGGTTACCTTTCTGCTGATTAGGCATCATCCATTATGTACGTCAACTTTTGATAAAATATAAAATATTTAAAAAGTTTCTGGAATAGTAACAAATAACAAATGCTCTACAGGTATAATAAAGACATAACCAGCAGAGGATCAGCTTTATAAACAAAGAAAATCTTGTTTACGTTCTTTTTTTAAGTTTGTTTTAACACAAATGGAAAAGGTGATTAACTTTTTTTGATTATTCCTCCCTGAAGTCCAGCTGTCAATTTCCAGGAACAAGAGCGCTTTAAACGTGATCGTCTTCACTGTGCTGGCGTCTGGGACTATGGAGCCGTTACTTGACCAGACTGGAGTCTATCAGACCACGGCCAAAGAGCAGGAAAGTAAACGTGTCATGATATACTAGACAGCGAGTGGTTTCTTGGCAGCAACAATATCATACAGTTGAAATCTGTTTATACTGTATCTGCTCTATTTGTTCAGAAGCCTGTTTGCAATCACTTGGCTTCCCAGGCATCAAAAGTTAAGATTCACCAAGAATCAGTTACTAGAATATTTACTTTCTGATAATTAGTTTATGACCATTCTATATTTCTGTGGGAATAAATGTAAAGTTTATGTATTTGTGAATTACTTTATTATCTCAGACAAAAATTGTCCACAACTAGTGCTGGGCGGTATACCGTTTTGTACCGAAAACCGGTTTTTATTTTTGTTATGATATGACTTTTCTGAATACTGGTACAGTCTGAACACGTGCGGAATGTTTCGTCGCAGCCGCCAGTGAGCTGTTTCCCTGGGGACACATTTCGTTGCAGCACCGCTAAGCGTATTAGCATGCTAACGTTATTGGCTGTGTCCAAAACGGCAGGACGGGTCCTCCGAAGGTCGAATTTGTCGGCCGCATACGTCACAGCGCCGCGACGAAGGACGTCCAAAACSGAAGACTCCTCCGATGCRKCMGACAAATACGTCCTTCYTTTKSCCCGAATCGAAGGACAGGTCCGATGGATCCTTCCYGGCCCASCAYATCCCATAATGCATTGCGGCCCGACCGGAGATTTTTTTATGCTAGTAATGGCGGACGAAGCGAGAGAAAAGAATACATTTTAAATAAAAATATGGTGATATAAAAATTTTAAAAAATTAGCGGTTGTAATTCTAATACTTTTATCATTTGTATGGACATGTTTTTAAATATTATTTTTTCGTCATAAAAAACGCGAAATAAACATGAACCTACAGCGAATTAGTTCTTCAAATGATACTTTTAAGTTAATTTTATAGTTTTGTGATATTAATAATGCTAATGTATTGATGTTTTTCTAGTTTTGATTTAAGTTTGCTTGTTTAGCGTCGTCACAGTTGCTAGGTGACAAGACGTACGCCAGGGTAAGGAGGGGAGGCTAGACCGTCCAAATTCACAGCCTCTTTTTTTCCGGTCTTCCCGGTCTACCAAGGACCCGGCCCGCCGTGACCGGGTAGTCTGGGTCCTCCGGAGGACCCAGCCTGCCGTTTTGGACACAGCCATTGTTGGAACCACTGGCGGCGGGTGGTTTGTTTCAGCCACTTATATGGTCTAACGTTAAAAAAACATCCCGTTTTCACCATCGCTGAATGTTAAACCACTCTTCAGTGACGTGCACGGTTAGATTTAACGCACTACATTATAACAGACGTTATTGCATGGAGACTCTAGCGTGCTTCTATTGTGAAAAGCCCAGGGGAAAGTAGCTTTGTAGTGTAGCGGAGTTGACTAGTGTGCAAGGTGAGTCATCCTTATTTTATTAACGTGTTTTATTAACACGTAACGATAGACCAGATTAAAAAAAAAATTTTTCTCAAACCTTCACGATCGGACCAAAATGCATGATTACTGTCTACAACCAGGCAAAGAAGAAAAGACGTACAAGAGGAGGGAAACAGTGATGAAAGAAAAAAGTCAATAAGCAAAGTTTGTACATTTTATTATCAACTGACCTGTGAGGGAAAAAAACACTGTCAAATACCGTAAAACCGGTGTAATTGTTTAAAATACCATGATATAAAATTTGGGTCATACCGCCTAGCTCTATCCACAACATTAAAAAAAAATAAAAACAACAACATTATGTTTGCATAGTAACCAAATCCTTAATCTGTGTTTTTTTAACTGTATCAGCAGTATCGCATGCAGCCCTCTTGAAGTATTTTCTCCACGTTTTTCATTTTACAGTGCATCTTAGCGTACATCAACATGGTGAGAAAAGACTCAGATGACGGAGCCAAACATGGACAGATAAATGTCTTTTGGACAAGCCCACAGGCTCACAGTAGTTGCAGGCTAAAACAACATGGCTAGTACAGGGTTTCACACAAAGGTGCCAACACAAACATGCCACTGATGCTGCTGCCATTTCTGGAACACACCGTCACATAAACGCACTGCCAGTTCAACAGCCACATACACCAACAACCCAATAAAAAGTACCACAACACAGCAATAAAACAAGTTAAATCGTGCTGAGGTTTCGTAAATACAGAATTTGTACACAACACAAACAAGCACCTAACTTTGACTGAAACTAAAATCTGGCGTGGTTATTTAGCAGTAATTAATGAATCTATAGAATCCATTTTAAGGATATTTCGTGTGAAATGAGAGATCGCAAATATTGTAAACACTATCTGAGATTATTCAGAGTAACAATACCTTATAAAATACACTTAAATCAATACATTCTACACCTATCCTTACAACAAGTGGTGCGCAGATATAAATTTAGGTTTTTAGCTACTAGTGTTAACCATTGTTTACCGTTTAATACGAGTCCCGTGTTTTGGACTAAAATAGAGCCTGCCTACCCTGAAAGATAACGAGCTAGCGAAGTTCACGGTTGTGTCCAAGACAGAAGTGTTGTCTAGCTGGTGACTTGCCAGTGTGTCGAAACATTATTACTTACGTTGTCGTGAAGGGATTGTCTCAGTCTGTCCTCCTTGTTGTGTTTACGACAGTTAAGACAAAACACACAGGCTTGTTGATGTTGTGTTAACCGTCGATAAATGTTAGCCACTTTCGCGTCTCGGCCCCCAGCTCCACAGCTAGCTTTGAAAGGCTAGCCAGCATTTCACACGATAAGTTCTCCTTTCAGCATGTCCCTGCATCGGATTAAGGCTTTTATATACATATTTCCCGCCGGAAACATAAGGGGCATAAATTCATTAATCTAACTTTGACTGAAGTTTGACAGGAAAATCACGATGTGGTAGCATATCAGCCGCTTTCAAACCAAGCTAATTTTTGGCTAATGCTAAACGTTCAAAGTAGTGTTGCGTCGTTCACGAATGATTCGTTCATTTTAAAGAATCGATTCAGTGAACGAACTGATTCGAATCTCTTTGTCACCTGATTAGTTCATTTTTCATTTGAGCAGAGTGACGGTGCTGGTTTGCAGTAGAACTTTCGTGTTCTCTAGGTTTGCATTGAGTAAGTGTTTAAGTATTGGTTTTTCAAAATGTTTTATTGCGCTGAAATTAAAGAAATATTAAAAGTTGTGTTACAATATGTTTTAATGTATCCGGTTTTATTGTGAAAGGCTGAACAGGAAGTGAATACTGTGAGGCGGATAAAAACTTGACTTGTTTCGGGGTTCGATAGCGTTTGTTTGTGTTATGCCGATCGCTTGGAGCAACATGCTAATGCCGTGCTTCGTTCGAGATCCAGTCGGTGACTGAGAGTCACTCATTTCGTTCAGTTGGACTGTGGTTATTATGAATCTGAATGAACCGTAGTGGTGCTGTGTGGGTCTGACTCCGAACGAATCAGTTCTCTTCGTTCACGAGAAGAGAACTCTTCGTTCTCTTGAGCCTTGAGGCTTGAGGCTTGAGAGCCTTGAGGCTCTTCGTTCACGAGAGTGGCGCGGTGACTCTGCACGATCAATGAGCTTCCGCGTTCACCGCTGCAGAGCAAGTAGAGGTCTCTGTGGACGAGTGAGCGTGTCACAAGGAAAGGTGATTCTAAAGCGACACACCTGATTTGACGGACTTTGTTAAAGGGACACACCTGACTGGACAAGCAAAAAAGGGGCGTCACCGTACTGGAGTTGTTCCCAAACTTTTCAGCTTTTGACCCACAAAATGCCAGCAGCACAGACCTGTGACCCCAGCTGTTGGTTGATGAACATTGGTTTCACGTCAAACAAACAAGAGCATAGTAACATTACTACTCTCTTTTTGTCCATTTTAAGTACACTGATTTTACTCATTTGTAACAAAAAAGGCAAAAAATTGATAGTTGTAATTTTTTTGTGTAATTAATTCAGAAAATCTTTTCAGGACCCCACCTTGATGTTTCGGGACTCCACTGTGGGTCCCGACCCCAACTATGGGAACCACTGCCGAACGGCACCACCTCATTGGACAAGAACAAAATGGGCGTTACTGTACGGCACCACTTTTTTCTGGAGAACCCTACTTGGGTCACATTTCTCCTGGTTAATCTTAGTGTCGGGGTCAGGGTCAGGCTGTAAAGAGATCGAGCAGGATCTAATGGTGCGTTCACACCGAACGCGATTTCAGCATCTGGAGCATCAGGTTTACATACAAAGTCTATGGTAGCCGCGCTTCAAGCAACGTCGGGAAGTGCTGCGGCGCCTCAAGTGCGATTAGAGCAGCGCGATTTGAACGATTTGAATGATTTGAACGATCTGAGCGTTCGACGCGCTGAGGCGCAAATCGCTGAAATTAGAAAATCTGAACTTTTGCAGCTCGACGCGCCGCGTCAACCAATCAGAGAGACTCCACTGTGTGACGTAGCGACATATTTCCTGA